AATGTAGTTTATCTATGACTAAGTGAGGACATTTGATAGTCTCTGTAAGCTAAAAATTTTTCTTTTATTATTGGTTATTATTATCAATGCAGTTTTAAAAATTTGTGCTGAGAGAAAGATGACGTGAGACAGGTAAGAAGTGATTAACTCATATGTTATTGCTGTAAATTTCTGTGTCCACATGAGAAGTAGGCAAGCTACAAATATGTTTCATAGCAAAGTTTGGAGACTCCGATGAGAATTTTCTACCTATCATTTTTATCTTTCTTTCACATGTTCTTCTCTTATTTATCCATTATGACTTTGATTTGAATCTCTTGAACACCTAGGCCATGAATAGGACATTTTGTTTTAATAAATCTGGTTTCATGAATCATGGAAATTAGAAATTAATAGACAAAACAAATAAGAAAAAGAAAAAAAAATTCCCTCCCCAAACAAGAAATATTTTAGAAGAAAGGTTCAGCCTATATTTAATATAAATGAGTGAATGTGCATTTCTATAAAAAATACAAGGCATATTCAAGAGTATAATTAAATTTTATAGTACATTTCACGGTGAGAATAAAATAGAGAAGCTATAAGAGGAGGCATGCAAATAAAAAATTAGGGAAAGAAAAGAAACATGAAAGAGACTAATGAATAAATTGAGGCACTGAGAAAAATACAAAAGAAATGGCCATGTAGGGTCAGATGGGCATGTGCATATGTGAAGTATGGGCACCAACACATGAAGCGCACAGAAAGGTGCCCACAGAAAAGGACAGAAGGGACAGAGACACAGTGGGCTACAGAGGAGGGAATGAAAAGATCCAGCCTGCTCGTGTCCTGTCATTATTATAAAAAGAAAGCAGGATGGGTTGGTGTTACCAAAAAGCTATATCATACTCAACAATATTCCGCTTTAGTAAAGATATACAGTTTTTCACTGTTAAGTCTCATTTTCATTCTTCTAAAAATATCTTCATTACTTTTAGACATTATGTTATGTTTTTACAAATAGATATGAGTCCTGTGAGTCTGATGAAATAGTTAGAAATTGTATGTAATCTTTGCCTTTTCATTGACTTTCTTTAAAAAAAAAAAA